AAAGTTATTGAGTCAGAATAGGTTAAAATTTAAGGAAAGGTTTATTTGCTCTATTACAATTCTCATTACTCATTTATGCGGTGCACCTCCTTGATACATTATGCAAACTAGAAAAAGCAAGCGTTACCACAGCTTCTTGCCAAAATCAAATAGTCCAATTCCTTCATCACTCCACTTTTACCACCAACTTCAAAACGTCCACCATATACAAAACTGTCGATTAACTAAAATAGGATCTTCTATATTCAGTATGACAGACAGCTGTCCTAAAGAGAAGCCACCATTTATCCTTTACAATATAATTGCAACGATGAAAAACCATAGGGATGGCTCACCAGAAACTAACGTGCTGTAACATTGGTAACTTACTGTACAGGGAATCTGGTGACAACCCAAACCCCTCTGTTGCTTGAAGAATATCGTACTGGATTTCAAAGGACTCCTATTTTACTGGTTAGAGGGCTTTGCTCAGCATAGTCTGTGTGTTTTGTTTTTTGTGGGGGGGGTGGTTGTTGGGTTTTTTTACAGTTGCCAAGCTACAGGAACTATCTTCATAATGTGTGGCTGCTAGACATAGAAAAGAAAGTACGAAGGCTGAAGGGAATTGGCTGGATGTTGGGATGGGGCATGGAAGGGGTGTGGACTGAGGACTGAAGATAGAGGACTTGTAGGATGCTAAGAGTAGGGAGAAGTGGAGCTGGCAGTGGTAGGTCTACCAGAGGTGCAGAGCTACCAGAGTAAAACTGGGGCTCAAAAGGGATAAGTCATGAGAAGGTCGAGAAGTGATTTTAACCCAATTAGACTTTATGCGATGCTGCCACCACCCTGCTTTTTTCCGCCCAGTTTTTTTTGACCCTGGGATCTCCTAGGGTCAAAAGATGTCCTGCACTACAAGGTAGCAGCACAGGAAATGCCTTAATGTGCAGTGTGTGGTGCCACAGACAGATCTGCGGCATCACATACCACGTGGCTACCGTTGTCTGGATGCAGCCAAGGACTGGGTCAATAAAGGAAGTGAGAAATCCATAACAAACACTGGTTTCAGCCCTGTAGATCCCCAGCCTGACTCACATTGGCTTCTTTAACTTAAATATAACCCTGCCTTCCAACGAGAAATATATGTTTTAAAATTAATCTTTTTTCCCCATTATCTGTGTTAGCAGTTCATTTTCCCTTTACCAAAGAAAAATATATACCCTGCTTTAGAAGATTTTGGGAAGTATTGGCATCCAGGATTAGACATGAAATTTTCAGGTCTCTACCAGAAAATGTCTAGGTACTATCTTGGGTCAATAGTTGAAACAACTTGTAGAAGGAGGATGGATTTTTCTGTTTTGGGCCTGATTCAAGAGCCATTGAAGTCACTGGAAGAATTCAGAGGTGCATTATACCTTATATCTCAGAAAAGATGTTCTCCTTCTCTTTACAAATCTTATATTTCTTTCAAGTAGTTTGGTAGCAACCAACCAGGAGTTTAAGTGAAGCAGGGCTCGAAGCCAACAGCATTAGCGGTTAGGAAAATTGATTCTTCAAAAGTTCGGCTGTTTTCCAAAACCACATTATACAACATAACAAAACCTGAGGAAATATATTTATTTCCCATAACATCTAATGGTTGAAGAGCAAACTGGATAGAACCAAGTTGTTGCAAGCTGCAAGTGGGAAATGGCTGATTCTTTTGGATTAGCTGTTCTTTTACTTCTAAGATTGTGACGATCACATAAAATCTTAACAGAGAAAATCTGAGTCAGTCAATGAATGCTACTGAAAAATGACAGACACTACAGAACTCAGAATTGTAATTTGATTTTTAAACAGAATCAAACCTTAACATAGCTCTCAAGCTATTACAAAATGGAAAAATTAGCAGAATGACTGAAAGAAAATAACACAGCTGGTGGCTATTGAAAAGGAAGAGCTAGACTGCCTGTCTGTAAGCTCAAACAGGGATGTTCAGAAATAAGTTCGTATATAAACCATGCAAAAATCAGATGTTTTAGAAAACACAAAATTGTAAATATATCTTTTTCTCCAGAGCAAAGCTGTGACAATAATTAATTATAATGAAGGCTTCAGGGGGGGGAAAAAACAACTCAAAAATACCTAATGCAGAAAGTGCCTGCAAATGTTTAGTTAAGTTCCTGTATATTCACACACACATTTGGAAGCAATTTATTGAAAAGTGTGGTGAGATGCATCTCTTGTTACTGTTCATTATTTACCATCACTAAATTATCTTACAGGAAAAAAAAAAAAATCACATTTCAAAACACCATTCAACTTTTTATGGTCTTCAGATTCTAGCAACGTTCTATCCCAGAGACGCTGCATCCATGTGCAAAGCTGACTGTGAGCAGCTATCCAACTTATGTGCTTGAATTCTTCACTAATTATTAGCCCACAAATTGATCACAGACAATGTATTTCTCCCAAATATGTGAACAAAAGGCTGAAGAGGAATAAAACCAGCACATTTACTTGAGCTATGGATAGTCCTGCAGACTTGAAATTCTATCTGTTTGGACAGAAGTCAGTCTCCTTTGCACAGGATCTGTGTTGTTCAGCGGAGTTCATCCTGCAGAGATGGCTCTACTGGGGAAATTAAAACATGTGATAGAGCAGAGGAAAGTCCCAGCACACCAGGCGGTGTTAGAAAACCAGAAGGAGAACAGGGACAATCTAAAAGTGATGATCTAACTTCATTGAGATCAGGATACTTTTCACAACCCCAGGAAGAAGCATAGTGGGGGTAGTAGATTTTATGTCTCCCTAACACAGTGTTGATGCATGATTGTTTGATAAAACTGCAGAGATTAATAACATCAACTGGGACATCTTGTATCTGTAATGTAAACTACAGATCCACATGAGGAATATAATGGGCACCGTCAGGCGCAGGGCATAATAGCAGGGCTGGAACGCAGGGGTTCCAAGTGCAAATCACAGGCCTCCAACAATCAAGTAGCCCTATTAGCTGGTAACAGTAGTATGCAAATTAAATAGTGTGGAGAACATAATTTGCTGACTATTGATACATGTGCATCTGGCCTCACGGTCATTTTTACACTACCCATTCCTCTCTTCTTTTGTTCCTTTAACATATAAGCAGACTTGGCTTCTCTTCATTTCACATATTTGCAGCTTCTGCAGCTTGCTTTCTTTTGCTGCAGATTATTTCATCTGCAGCCCAGTCCATTTCTTTCTTGGTAAGCCATCACCACCAAAAACACTGTTATTACATGTATTATCATATACACCATAACGTATATTGTAATATATAATATGTATACTATAACAACAACAACAATAGAAACAGTAGAAACAGTTTGTTTTGCTTTTTAGCAGAGGTAGCTTCTCCCTGTAGGTTTGGGCTTAACAGTGTGAGAGAACTGTATTCTTCTCTCATACTCATTCAGCTGATCCTTGAAGGCTAGGTTGGCATCATGCAATCTGGTCTGGCATAAGGGCTAGCAAAGAGCTATGCTATCCCAGGGATCTTAGATGGTAACCAAAGTCTTTTCTGTCCCTTGGCCCCAGAAGACAAGTAGGACTACCTCCTTGGTTACTATTATTTACTCCCATTCTCTGCACTTGCCAGTTCATTGGCATGAGTGGGCTCAACTCTCTGACTCTGCTTGGCAGTGATCACAATCCCAGGTGTGAACCATGATGCAGGTAGCCATAAAAGCAGGTAGATCACTCATGAGTTGATGCTCAGTGTTAAATCAATTCAACCCCTTTGATTCTAAGACAAATTCGTTCCTTCTCCTGCAAAACAGTAGGATGTTCTTTAGTCTGATCCAACCCAAAGATTTCCTCTCCAAAGATTCCCTATTCCACAACTAGCTACCTCAATTTTGCTTTTACTAAAACGTGTTCACCTTTTTAATTCCCCAGTGAATCTATTTATGACTGCCAATTTTTTGAAAACTAACATGCGAGTTTTCCCCAGATATCACAGCTTTAAAACCTGGGCTCCTATTGCAGAGTCTCCTTCCTACATTATTGATAATAATCATTTCCTGTGCAACTGAACAATTTAATGCGCTGCAAAAATTTGATAAGACAATTTAATTGCCAGCTTTTATGTGTTTTCTTAAAATAGATACATCCCTTGCAAAGGTTGTTCAGGATATAAGTGTTAGCAGAAACAATTAAGGAACTGAAACAATAGAACCAGATTGTAGAATTAGAGTGTGCAGAAAACTATAAGAAATTCCTACAACATCCTCATTATTGTATTCCATTTTTGCAGACATTGGGCCACACTGCTCACTTCAGAACCAGGGAATTTGATTAGTTATGAATAGGTGGAGATAATGCTATTTACTAATGGAGAGAACAGTGAAGTGAACATGCCTTGAGGGAAAAATACAGTGAACCTGCATGTGTTCAATTAATTGTGGCTCTCCGAACGAAATATTCTTTATCATAAGCACTTCAGATATATAAATAGTGGAGGAAACATTTACTTGCATGTTTCATATCTTGGATTTCCAGCTTCCATGTAACTGGTAATAACTTACCATTTTAATATTAAGGTACCATCATTCCTGATAATAAAGTACACAACAGTCCTGACTAAATGTTCTTTCTTCCTCATTTAAATGCCTATCCTTTTCCAAATAAAACTCACAGGATCTATACTTTTATGAATTCTGGAAAGTACAGGGAAGTTCAAATCCAGTTTAGATCCTGATCTCTCTTAGTGATTGGCCAAACAGGAATATGCCTTGAGACAAATGTGGCATCTCAAAGGAAATATGTAATTGCCCTTTCTTTAGCAGTTGTGTGACAGTACGATGGAATTCAATTTCTTCCACTTTCTTATGACAATAATATTAAACCATAGCATGTGAGGTGCATGTTTTTTCTCATTACCTTAACTCATTTCAGTGCTGAACTGTATGTGCAAAGGTTCAGAGCTGTCTCTGATTGAGATAAACTAGCTATGTGTTGGACTTAAAGTGTTTTCGAGACTAAAATGTGCTTTTGATTACCTGTGGCAGTATGCAGGTCCTAAGTGTGCTGTAGTTCTCATTTCCCTCCCAGAATTGAAGTTTGTCTGCAGTCTTCTTCTCTAGACTTACCTGTGAAAAATGATTAAGGAGTTCAGGATCACACAGGTAAGCTTGTCCAGTGCTTCATAAAATATTCCCAGAACAATCATCACTGATTTTGATAATGAGGGTTTCTTTCAGTTACTCACCGGCTTCTTAATTTTTGTCAGGGTCAGTGCAAGGCTTCATACAAATCCTTACCTATGCAGGTAGAGAAAGCCATGTTTCATGTCAAAGAGCAATTTTTGAAAAAAGACAAATATGCCAGGTTAACAAATGCCTTCTCAGAGTTGCTAACTCTCACTACTTTTCTGTGATATTTCTCAGTTTTCCTAAAGCCTCAGCTACAAGAATTAAAGATTGCATGAGAATGTCACCTTTTCTATAAAACTGGAATTAAGTTTCTAGTTTCTAGCACTGAGTATTGCTGGGAAGAACTTTAAAAACGGAAGCTAGAATTTTAAGATAATTTTGGGGGAATTTCACTCATGATTTTTGAATGCTCAAGACCCATCTACAAGATCTTAAACTAGGTTAATATAAATCTGGCTGGAGCCTAAGACTTTCCATTGATCTCCATGCAGAAAATTGGGTTGTGTGTTTCATTTGTTTCCATTCTCCAGTAAATGCTCTTTCATCCTATCCAAAATCAAAAGACAGCCCTTCTCTCATTCTACTAAACTTGACAAAACAGACAAAGCTTCCTGAACAATGCTTAATGAAAGAGTTGCTCTCTGTTTCTGGCCCTGATTTCATATATAGGAAGTCAATGAAGTCTATTTCTCTTGAATTTATCTCTGGTAATTTCATTGTATAATAATTTGTGGGTTTTAATAGTATTATCAGACAGTTATACACCATAACCATACCGCTGTTCTACTATGCACCATATAAAAAGATAGCATCATTCTTCAACATTTTCCAGACAGAAAAAGGTATGGAGATAAAAGGGTTTATAGCAAAGTGATTCAGAAGCTACTAAATTAATCTCACATTCCAATCAATCTGAAAAATGAAAAGGCACTTGACTCAATCTGTCAGCAAAGTCAAACGTATCTGATCAACTCAATGGAAATCCTTTATAAGCTTGAACTGTGATGAATAATATAGCCCTGCTTAAATAAAATGATGTGCCTGATACCCACATGCATGGTAATAGGGGTGAAATTTCAAGTCTGAATACCTGATAAAGGGTTTTCTTTGTTTCATGAAAAGAATCCTACCAGTAATCAGCTCATTAAGTATTTAATTGAGCAGCCTTGTACTGTGAAACGATGATATCCTGTGAAATAATGAGCTTGCAAGCTCCTGATGACTGAAAATCCCCATACTACCTGACTTGGGGTAATTCTGAATGTTTTGCTCAGTGCAGTAAATCTCAATAAGAACAAAAACGTACCAAATTAGGAGATTTCCTGTCAGTACTTAGAGAAGCAGGCTGAAACGCTACTTCATGCTTTTCAGAACATTATGCGCACACTGGTGGCAGGACTAAACAATAAAGAACTGTTTTCTACTTCTGTCTTCAATCACCTGAAAGTCCAGTTCATGCTTGAATTTCTCTAGCGCTCCTGGAGACCAGACCCTTCAAAAGCTTGTGCCTTTCTTTGCAAAGCCACAGAAATTAGCACTGGGCGAAGCTCACATCTTACAGATGTTTGGTTGCTTCCCTTAACTATATCTAAGCTATCCAAACCCGACGGCTCTGTATAAGTAAGGTGGAGTCATGTCGTAATGGATATATTTGCACTGAAGTTATTTAGACCTAACTTAGCTGCCTAAAAAGTGTCTAGTTCAAGGATTGCAGCGGCAACAGTATGGAGCTCAGCATGGACCAGTTGCCTGAACATTTCCTCACAGTCCTGGGTGGATTTTCCACCCCCAGGTCTTACCCCATGAGGCACTGGTTAGACTATTAGCAGCTTGCAAGCTAGTTAGTTTAAAGCTAGCTCAGGTATATACATGTCACTGCAGTGTAACCAGGCTCCATGAAAAGATTCCTTCTCACCAAACGGTTTTTTGACCTTGGAAGCTGCACAAGATAGGGCAGGGTATCATGACAACGGAAAACAAGTGGATGGGAGGAAAATCTCTCAATGATCAAACATGGTTTGACTAGTGTTTGGAGTAAAAATCCAGGCCATTTATACCATGGTAAGAATCATGCAAAACTAATCCAGATAAAGATAGGTCCTAAAAGTAGACGCCTCGTTCCAGAATCAAACCTGTGTAGCGTATTCCGGTCTATTTTGTTGAAAAGATCCACTGACTTCAGGGCAAGTTTTTTCCTGACTTAGGACTGAAGAAGGAGGTGAAAAACTAGAAGAGAGTAGTCTTTTGTCAACAACATGTTTCTTACCATGGCTGAGACTGAAAATAGTATGCAGGGGGGATTCTGGGACTGGATGACATCCATGCAGGATCAGGATGTCTTGGAAGCCAACTGAGAGCAGGAGGCCACCTGTTGTCCTTTTCCTGAAAACCTGCCATTTGCCATGTGGAAGAAGGAGACAGAGAGAGAGGAGGTGTTGATTCCTCGTGTGGGTGGTTGCATTGCTGACATTTAGCAACAGTAGGGCTGACTTTGATGGTTGATAATGGGCCAAGAAGTCTAGGAAGAAACTGCAATACAGGAAAAATATTTTTAAAGCAGAGACTGAGCGTACAAATATTAGGCAGGGTAAAGCAGTGTTAGCTATTTAAATGGCCAGCATATGTAGAGTCTGAAACAACATAAACCCTGAGTAACCTTACCACAAATGCTGAAAGGTGTTTTCATATTGGGGCCCTGCTCTCATGTATAGCTGCTTTTTGTTACTAGTGTTAGTAAAGGTTAGGGGTCAAATTCCCAGTTTGTGTAAAGTGACATAGTCTCATGCATCCCAATGGAGCTGCAGTACTTTACACCAGTTGAGAATCTGATGTTAGAATCTAATTACATTTGCAAGAAAATCACCAACGAGCATGAAAAAGTTAGTTTACAAGAGTTATAATGCATGAATAAATCCCAGGTAGGGGTAACTCTGAATCTAGACAGGGAAAAACAACAGCAATAGTGATTTTGATGGTAAGCAACGATAAAACATGCAGGCAAATACAAAAGACCTGCCTGAGAGTTAGGAATTTAAAAAAATCCTACCATTTAAATTTAAGTGTTATATTTTGATACTATTCATTCCCATTTAAATAGATACTCTGGAAAGTGATGATATGAAAAGTCTCTTATTTTGTGTCTCTGCAACATAAAGGATACATGTTATTGGGATAGCTCATAAGACATAGTAACCAAAAATTGTATCATAATTAGCAATGAACTACATTTAATGCAGCTACTCACTGAGTTTTCCAGCAAATATAATATACCTTCTACTTTCCCCTTATTACAATGGCAGGACTTGTTATGATTATTAGTCCTGTGGACTAGCCACATGACTTTTTTGGGCTTTAAAAGAGTTCATTTACAGAGATACCACTGTCTCTTCTAACATCTTCTACTTTAAAAGTGTGTGGATAGTGCCCTGATATTTTGGTTAATTCTTTAGAAAAATTAAAAATATGAACTGACTGACCAAAGGAGTTTTCCATCTATTGACTCCTCTGTGAAATCCTATAAAATATGAACTTTCATTTCTACCCAGGAGAACTTTTACAATCTTTTCTCCAGTGCCTAATGAAGGGTGTTTGTGCCTGAAAGCTTGCAATTAAAGAAATATTTTTGCAAAAATCTTGTTGGTCTAATAAAAGATATCATCTCTACTATGAGTCCTGATTGCCTTTCCCTCTAGACCAATATGGCTACAACCTGCATACCTTAAAAAAATTAAAGCAGATCTGAAATGCAGAACTATAACTAAAATGTAAAATGTTTATACTTGGCATAATACCTGTGGCTGAAAGGATGCAGATAAACAAAAAGAAGGTAGTTAAAAAATGATTGCCAGTTTTTTGCTTGACAGGGAAGCAACACACCCATACGTGACAACACTTTCTGTCACAGGGCAAAAAGATATAGTCTCATCTTTGGGTAGCTTCCTTACAAAGAGAAACATGGGCTTTACTAACAAATGGTGCCATTGTCCATTCTTGTTTTCTGCTCAACAACTTTTTCTCCCAGATACCAATTTGGTG